AGACCCAATAACTCACCCCAAATTTATAATCAAGATCCTAAGTTTCAAGTTTAGGGTTAAGTCTTAATTTCTCCCAATAATACAATCCTAATAGTTTTCATACAATATAATACATCCAATATTTAATTACTTATTTTAATATTTAAACACTTGAATCAGAATATGATAACAAAATTAAATTACTCAAAATTGAAGCCACTGATTATGAAACCAGTGGCAGCCACCAGAAATCACGCAAGAGAAAAGAAACAAACTTAAGACGAAAATCACTGTAGACATTTATAATTCATAACCTCTCATCATCTAATTTATCCAAAGTCTTGTCATCATTACATAATCATTAACGCTCAATTTCCTTTCCAACAATTATACCATAATTACCCACTACTACTGTCTACCCTAGGTTACCCTAGGATTTTAGGAAGCCACTTTCCAAACAACTATTAGGCAGAATAAAAAATAAGCTTGAGGTTTTACCTGAAGCGTGTGATGCTTTCCTCTACCTCTCTCGTAAGTCTTTTTCCACTGTTTCGTCAACTATGCTGACTTTCAAATTAAGTTCAGGGCTTCTTGCCCTTATTTTATTTTTTTTTCTTTTTTCTATTTTTTTTCTTTTTTCATTATTATTAGCAACAAAATAATCCTTTATTAAAGCTGAAAATCATGTCACTCATTCTTACAAGTTATAGATTATTTATAAAAGCTACTAAAAAGGTTAATATAAAAATAATTATTAAAATTCATAAAACGACTAAGAGGGTCGTTACACATAACCTTTAGTGATATTTTCTTTGATAAATTTATCATATAAAAAGTATGTATTATCCAAAAAACAAAAACACAAACGATAAATAAAAAAACATTCATTTTTATTTATACTATTACAAAATTCAACAGTAACTTATAGTTCTTTCCTTTTACTTTAATTATCTAAATATAACTGTACACAAAAATTAAAAATAAATTATTAATTAAATCACTAAAACAAAAAAATATGCACATAAATGTGCAAAATTTGTGCCAACAAATAAAAAAAAACTATATAAACTACGTAAAAAATGCAAAAATTTGAAAACAATTCAACAAGTAAGACGATTATTTAATAATATTATCCCAACATATATAATTTTGTCCACTATGATTTTATTATAACGGAAAAGGATCAGTGTGACTGTGAATTTGTTGTGTTATTATAGTAGTGATATTTGACAAGTATAAAAAAAATATTCTTTGTCAGGTAAGTTGTCACATGGAAATGAACATATTGATAAATGAACATGAAAAAAAAACTAATAGGGGGATACACACAAGAGAAAATATTTGACAGTTAGGCCATCACAAATAACGTGGTCATGATATGTCAATGATGCGATACAGATCTCATCAAGGCCATTTACTAGAAGCCAAGCTCAAGACCTTCAAAGGATGCAAGGGTTATTCATGAAGATGGAGGTGCTCGAGATGGTATTGATGGCAAACAAGGGATTTCAGACCTTGAAGATAGCATGGGGTCCTTTTGGCGAGCAGGATTCACTTGGCGCATCGCCCAAGGAACTAGGCAATGGTCCCAGCTCACCTAAAGTTCTTGAATATGGCTAGAGCTGAGGCCAACACATAGAAACTCGCCGACCAGGTCGGCGCACCACCGAGTCCACTAGGCGAGCCCGACTTGGCTCACCCTTTATCACTTCCGGGTCACTTTTGGGCCCTTTTATGATGTAATAGCCTAAAACTATAAATAGACCTTTAGGGTTCATTTTAGGGTAGATTATTTTGAATGTTGAAAACTGAAAATTCATGTCTGAGTGTTGAGAGCTTGGTAAGCTTTTGTTGCCTTTTGTTGAAACGTCGGTTGCTCGGGATATCGATTCCCTTGAAGTCGTCGTAAGAGTTAGGTGCTATTGTTGGATTAATCGATTGAGGTCTTTAGGGTTAATATACCCATAGGTTGTCTTTAATTTCCTCTTGTGTGTCTAATTATTTATCCTTTACTTTTCGTCTTTTTGATTTCCGCATTTTATCATCGTTTCTCTTGTAAGAATCGTATCATTTGGTATCAGAGCTGAGTCTAGATTCGTTCCTACGATTCTAGTCTTGGGGTTTTGTTACAAAAAAAACTGTCAATTTTCGTTTCTGAGAATTTGCTGAAATGGTTTTCTTAGATTGAGTCTTGTTTGAGTTTCTAAGGTTGGAATAGTGTTCTCCAACTATAATCGAGTCTTAGGCTGAGATTGGAAGGAGTTTGGTGCCTTATTGAAGAATCCACCATTGAAGACTTGAAGAAGCTTGAAGAAGACAAAGTGAGTTTTGAAATTTGAAGGTTTTGGTTTTGAATTGAAGGTTAAAAAGTATTGGGTGTTGTTCCCATATCAAGGAGAGCCTTCACCTAAATTTTTGTGAAATTTCGAGACAAAAATTTTAAAGGTTTTATTTTGGGTGTTCATCTTGTTCTTAAAGTTCTTGAATAACATTCAAACCTTCAAGGAAGGGAATCTTTGAAAAGAAAGTGTTTGATTCAAAAAGGGAAGAAATAGAAAGAGTAAAAGTGTTTATTAAAGAGGGAATTTACCTAAAAGGGTAAATACTAAAGGACAAGTGCAGGGGGGGGGGGGGACCATATGAGTTCCATTTTTGAATTTTACTGGTGAAACTTTTGGACCATTGGGCGAACCACGACTTAGCTCGCCTAGTCCATTCGGCGCCTCGCCCTTTGGGTAGGTTGGTCGCCGAATTGGCAGCCAATTTGAGGGAGCTATCGGAACTTTCGGCTAGATCAAGCTTTGGCCGTCGAGTCCATTCGGCGCATCGCCGAGCTGCCAGCCCTATCGCCGAGTTGCCTTGTCCGTTTGCAGAGTTTGGCGAGTCCATCTTTAAGTTGGTGATCTGAACTTCAACTTAGGCGAAGAAAACTGGTCCTTCGGCGATCAGAAACTCAAGTTAATTCTAATCTCAGGTTCTAACTTCTTAGTTTCGTTCTTTTGATTCTCAAACGTTCTCAAGAATCCTAAACCGATTTTCAACTCGTAATTACTCTACTTGTTGACTATTGGTTCTTGAATTCACTTCTTTGTTTGTGCCTTTTCTTTTGTGCTTTTCTCGTTTTTATTTCGTAGTTAATTCATGATCCAAGTCCATTTGTTTAATCGAGTCGTCTGTTCTTCTTAACACTAGAATCCATTCTAATCAAGAGTAGCAATGAATATCTTGTGATCGACCTAGTACAAACAAACTGTCAACATTAGCCGCACCAATTGAGAGGCAATTAAAGGTGTGTAAACAAAAGTGTTTGCGAGTTCTTTACTAACCTAACGTTGTTTGCTGCTTGTGAGTTGTCTTATTGCAGGTACAATGGAGGCATGAGGAGAAATTCAAGCACCTATCGGAGAAATTACTTTGGCAACTTTGTTAGACGTGTTGAACAATGTGAGAGGTGAATAGCAAGGATGGACAATAGGCTTGCTACTGTGGAAGGTCGAGTCAATTCCAATGACTCTACACCACAAGCTTCTTTTGTGCTTGTACAAGTGGGCACGAACACACTCATTCTCCTACTCTCACACCGGGAACCCTCCACCAAGCTTTGCACCCAACTTTCAATCAATTGGGTTCAAATAGCCAAAGTTCCAATCGACCGTTCCATTTTCCGCTTAGTCAAGAAGCTTCACCAAATCAAAGCCATCCTTACCAAACACCACTTAACCAAAATATTCCCTACCAAAGACCACAACCCTAACAAAATCTCGTGAATGAGGTGAGGAATGATGAAGATCAAGGAGGTTATGAAGGTGAAGGTGAAGAAGCGCCATGGAATGAGTCACCAAGAAATCAACGAAGAGGTCAAGTCTTGCAAGGAGGACTAAGAGGTAGATTGGGTCCAATGCCATTTCATAGGAGACAACATGGGAACCACCCTCAAGGTGGAAATCATTGGGAAGTCAATGGCAATCATGAAGTTGGTCAAGAAGCTAGAGAAGAACACGGTAACCGCTATCAAGAAGGGCATCAAAAGGGTTACCATTACAATGACCCAGGTGGCCATGGAGGCTGAGATGTTGGCATCAACTCTATCAAAATGAGTCTTCCAACATTCAAAGAGGAATGCAATCCCGATGCTTACTTAGAATGGGAGTCGCAATGTGACCAAATTTTCAATGTCAATGAATTGACGAAGGTCTGAAGTAGTTGCTATGCTATCGCCCAATTTGAAGGGTATGATGTCACGTGGTGGGAATACATGAAGAGGTATCACTTAGTTGTTCAAGAAGGTCATCCTTCACCATGGCCCGAGTTGAAAAGATTGATGAGAGCTAAGTATGTGCCAGAGAGATACCGCCAAGGATTACTTGCCAAATTGTATAACTTGAGGAAAGGAAGTAAAAGTGTTGGAGCCTATCATGATGAGTTCCATAACATAGTCATGAAGCTAGAATATCGAGAGATTGAAGAGCATGCATGATTCGCTTCAAGGTAGGGTTGAACAAAAAGATTTCTTCAAAGATGACCATTCATAGGTTTGCTACTTTGAATGATGTCTTTGAGGCAGCCCATGAGATAGAACTTGAATATAAAGAGGAAAATGTGGGTAAGTATAAGACTTCGTCTTTTAATTCTTAGAGCAAGAACAATGGGATAGTTCCGACATCATCGAGTTGGGGCAAGAGTGCGGATCTCAAGAAGACTTATGAGAAGAAGCCCTTCGAATGGAACACTCCAAAGTACCTGCCAAGAGAAAAGGGTACCATTGACCCAACCAAATTGCCTAATGGAATTCAATGTCACAAATGTAGAGGATGGGTCATATTATGCGTGAGTGTCCAAATCGATTGAATGCTCTAATGCAAGGAGGTGAAATCTTTCTTAGTGCTGAGGAGGAACCAACATGTTAATGTGAAGAAGGTCCTCAAGAAGAGGATGAGTTTGAAGATGGGGAAGATGAGGAATAAAACCTTTGTGTCAAAGAAGGAGAGAGTGTCGCTCCTCTATATGTGGTGAGGCGAGCAATGATTAGTACGGCCTTGGATGATCCGAGCCAAAGAGAGAATCTATTTCACTCCAAATGCTTCATCAAGGATAATGTGTGTTCCTTAATCATTAATAGCGGGAGTTATGCAAATGTTGCTAGTACTGCATTAGTGGAATTCTTAAAACTTCCTAGCACTAAGCATACTACACCTTACAAACTTCAATGGTTGAGTGAGTGGAGAATTGAGGGTTCATCGACAAGTGATGATCAAGTTAAGATTAGGAAGTATCAAGATGAGGTTCTATGTGATGTGGTCCCAATGCAAGCTTGTCATGCACTACTCGGGAGACCTTGGCAACATGATCGTTCAACCAAACATGATGGGAGAACCAACAAGTATTCACTTGTGTTGAATGATCATAAATATGTTCTTCATCCTATGTCCCCCTCTCAAGTCAATGATATATATCAAATGATGAGTGAGTCAAGGGAAAAAAAGAAGTGTGAAGAGGAACATGTGGAGGTCGAGAGCCAAGAAGAGGAGGAGATGAGGAAGTTGAAAGGGAAAGCCCAAGTGTTGTTGGCTAATTACAAAGAGATAAGGGAGGAAATTGAGTCCGAAAGTTCTTTGATCCTTATCACCCATAGGGATCATGTACTACAAACTAGCCAATCTCATTTTCCCTTCCAAATTATATTTCCTTCCTTTTGTAGGATTATGAGGATGTCTTCCCAAAGGAGCTTCCAAGTGGATTGCCCCCTCTTTGGGGAATTGAGCACAAAATTGAGTTTGTGCTGAGATCATAATTGCCAAACAAGCCGGCTTATCGAAGCAATCCGGAGGACACCAAAGAGCTACAAAGGCAAGTTGAGGAACTCCTCAACAAAGGTTATGTGAAGGAGAGCATGAGTCCATGTGTCGTGCCAGTTTTATTGGTTCCAAAGAAAGATGGAACATGGCGCATGTGTGTTGACTGTCGGGCCATCAACAAAATTATGATAAAGTATCGTCATCCTATTCCTAGGTTAGATGATATGCTTGATGAATTGAATGACTCTTATGTGTTTTCAAAAATTGATCTTAGGAGTGGTTATCATCAAATTCGGATGAACCCCGGTGATGAATGGAAAACCACATTCAAGACTAAGTTTGGTTTATATGAATGCTTGGTCCTTTGGTCTCACTAATGCTCTTAGTACCTTTATGCGTCTCATGAATCATGTGATGAAACCCTTTATAGGGAAATTTGTGGTTGTCTATTTTGGTGATATCTTGATTTATAGCAAGACCATGCATGATCATGTTGAACATTTAAGATGTGTGTTTGATGTACTTAGGAAGGAATAACTTTATGCTAATCTTGATAAATGTTCATTTTATGTTGATGAAGTTGTCTTCTTAGGTTTTGTTGTGAGTTCCAGAGGGTTTGAAGTTGATGAGTCTAAAATCGAGGCTATTAAGAATTGGCCAATTCCTAAATCCATAAGCGATGTTAGGAGCTTTCATGGATTGGCTAGTTTTTATAGATGATTTGTCAAAGGTTTTAGTACCATAGCAACCCCCTTGACAGAGGTAATCCGAAAGGATAAACCTTTTAAGTGGGGAGAGGAACAAGCCAAGGCTTTTGAGGCTTTATAATCTATGCTTAGTTCCGCTACTTTGTTGCAATTACCTGATTTTGATAAAATATTTGAAGTGGAATGTGATGCTAGTAAGGTAGGCATTGTAGCCGTCTTAATGAAAGACCAAAAACCTATTGCTTACTTTAGTGAAAAGCTAAAAGGTGCTACTTTGAATTATTCCACTTATGATCTTGAATTGTATGCCTTGATTAAGGTCTTGGGTAATTTGCAACACTACTTGTGGCCCAAGGAATTTGTCACTGACCATGAGTCCCTAAAGCATATTCGGGCACAAGGAAAGTTGAACAAAAGGCACGCCAAATGGATTGAATTCCTTGAAACTTTCCCTTATGTAATCCAATACAAAAAGGGAAAGGAAAATGTGGTGGCCAATGCCTTGTCTAGGAAACATATGTTGATAAATACTTCATCTTCCAAATTGATTGGCTTTGAATGTTTGAAGGCATTGTATCCCAATGATCCCGTGTTTGCTCAAATCTTCAAAGATTGAGAGGAATGGGAGAGGGAAAGGTGGATGAGGGGTCTTCTACTCCCTATTCCATGTTTGATGGTTTCTTGTTCAAAGGCAAGAGACTTTGTGTGCCTATGAGCTCTTGGAGAGAACTATTTGTGAGGGAGGCACACAATGGGGGTTTAATGGGTCATTTTGGTATTGAGAAAACTAGGGGAATTCTAGAGGAACAATTCTATTCGCCTAAAATGCATAAAGATGTTCGAATTTGTGGTCAATGTGTTGAATGTCGACGTGCTAAGTCACGCCTCCTTCCTCATGGTTTATACACTCCACTCCCCACCCTCAAATACCTTGGCTTGATATTTCTATGGACTTTGATTTGGGTTTGCCATGGACCAAACAAGGTAGAGATAACATTTTTATTGTTGTTGATCGATTTTCAAAGATGGCTCATTTCATTCCATGTCATAAATGTGATGATGCTTCCAATGTAGCATCTTTGTTTGTTGAGCATATTGTTAAATTGCATGGAATTCCTCAAACAATTGTAAGTGATGGGATCCAAAATTCCTTAGTCACTTTTGTAAGGAAATGTGGGATAGGCTTGGTACTAAGTTGTTGTTCTTAACTTCTTATCACCCACAAACCGATGGCCAAACTGAAGTTGTGAATAAAACCTTGGGTTCTATGCTTCGTGCATGAAAAGTTGGCCTCGTGGGAGGAACAATTGCCTTTAGTTGAGTTTGCATTTAATTGAGTTATTCATAGTACTATTGGCATGACTCCATTTGAAGTGGCTTATGGTTTTAATCCCCTAACCCTTTTAGATCTCACTCCTCTGTCTCAAGATGTTGTGTTAATCTTAGATGGGAGTAAGCGAGCTGAAGCCATGAAGAAGCTTCATGAAAAGGTGCAGCTGCACTTAGAGAAGAAGAACCAAGATGTAGCCAAAAGGGATAACAAGGGTCGTAAGAGGATTGTGTTTGAACCGAGTGATTGGGTGTGGGTACACTTTCGCAAGGAGCGATTCCTCACCCATCGTAAGACGAAGCTCATGCCAAGAGGCGATGGACCATTTCTAGTGATTGAGCGGCTCAACGACAACGCCTACAAGGTTGCCCTTCCTCCTGAATATCAAGTGCACAACACTCTCAATGTGTGCGACTTATCCCCTTTCCCAACTATGGAGGCTGATGATCCGTCAAATTTAAGGACAAGTTCTTTTCATGAAGAAGATAATGATGTGATACGGATCTCATCAAGGCCATTTACTAGAAACCAAGCTCAAGACCTTCAAAGGATGCAAGGGTTATTCATGAAGATGGAGGTGCTCGAGATGGTATTGATGGCAAACAAGGGATTTCAGACCTTGAAGATAGCATGGGGTCCTTTTGGAAAGCAGGACCCACTTTGCGCATCGCCCAAGGAACTAGGCGATGGTCCCAGCTCGCCTAAAGTTCCAGAATGTGGCTAGAGCTGAGGCCAACGCAGAGAAACTCGCCGACCAGGTCGGTGCACCGTCGAGTCCACTAGGTGAGCCCGACTTGGCTCACCCTTTATTACTTCCGGGTCACTTTTGGGCCTTTTTATGATGTAATAGCCTAAACTATAAATAGGCCTTTAGGGTAGATTATTTTGAATGTTGAAAACTGAAAACTTGTGTTTGAGTGTTGAGAGTTTGGTAAGCTTTTGTTGCGTTTTTGTTAGAAACGTTGGTTGCTCGGGATATCGATTCCCTTGAGGTCGTTGTAAGAGTTAGGTTCTATTGTAGGATTAATCGATTGAGGTCTTTGGGTTTAATATACCCATAGGTTGCCTTTGATTTCCTCTTGTGTGTCTAATTATTTATCCTTTACTTTTCGTCTTTTCAGTTTCTGTATTTTATCAGCGTTTCTCTTGTGAGAATCGTATCATATGTCCTTTAGTAATAGGGATAATATTTGACAAGTGGAAAGAAAGTATTCACACGAAAAAAATTAATCACTAGATAATTTAGCATAAGTCACGTAGAAATGAACGTATTGGTCAATGAAAATGAAAAATTGTGATAGGTTCCTCACAAGAGAAAAAACATGTTAACAATTAGGAAATTTCGAATAATGTGATAATGATATGTCGTTTAATGAGGTGGGGTAATACTTGTCAAGTGGAAAAAAAATACTGTCACGAAAAAGAACAATTGTTAGATAATCTATCATAAGTCACGTGATTATATTTTTGTGTGAGTAAAATATATACACGACAAAAATTTGTCGTCGGATAATTTATTATGACTCACATGACAATGAATGTGTCAATTAATGATATTAGGATGATAGTTGTTGGGTGGAAAAAACATTTCACACAACAAAGATTTATTACTAAATAAGTTATAATGAATTACAGGATTACGAATATATGTTGTTTTATGAATATATGATATATTTGTTAGATGGGAGAAAAATATTCACGCAAAAAAATAAATCACCAAATAAGGTATTATGAAGTTAAATTGAATTTTTGAAATTAAAAATACCAGTGTACTGTTTGGTTGCACTAGTGTAAATCATAAGGTTATATTGAATTTTAAAATTAAAAATTTATATTAGATAGATTAAGGCCTTTATAAATGATACTTAATTGAATATTTAAGATATATATTGTCGTTTTAAAATATATTAATTAATAAACATTTGTTCTTAACTAATATTATAAAAACAATTAATTTATACTTTTCAATTTAGTATATTTTAATTGAAATTATTCATAAAAATTGAAAGTACAAAAGTTCTATGAACATCTTGAAATGCATGTTTTTACAAAAAGATTAATAGAGAAAATGGTCAAATCCTAGCCTATTACCGAATTTTAAACTACACATCTATTCTTCACGAGAGTCCTATTACCTCCTAAACTACTTTAAAATGGAATAAATAACCCCTTAAGTATATATATTTCACTCTCTTTGAGAGAATGAGTTGTCTATTCTTTTTAATTTCCGTTTTTTTCTTTTATTTTCTCTTTCTTCTTATTTATCTGTACAATTATAATTTTTTCACCATTATCATTGTTGAAGCTTTATTAATGGATGTTTGGTATAAAAACTATCAACAACAAATGCATTTTATGAATAAATAATTTTTCAATAGATTTATTTAGAATATATCTAACAAATTAATTTTCTTTAAATATCGATTAATTGATTTTTACCATCATGGACTCAATAGTAACAAAATCAAAGTGAACTAATTGTATTTTTAGATGCATATTTTCAAACTTATTAGAAGGAACTGAAACAATGCAATTTCTTCTACATTTTTTTAAAAAAGGATCCTACATTTTCTCCTAAAATCCATAAAAAATCAAAATAAAAAAACTCAAATTAGTAATTAATTGTAAAATTTTAGAAGGAGAAAAAATGAGGAAGAGAGAGAGGTTTCTCAAAGTGGTATTACAAATTCGTCTCAAATTGACCTTCTTTTACTAAGTCACCGACATGATATAGCTCACATTTCCTTCAAATTCCATACCCCCCTTATTTTCCCAGAAGAAAAAAGAAAACATCCCATTATTTAAAAATAGTCCTTCTGCAAATTTTTTTTGACTTTTTCAAAAACCAAGCTTAGCTCATTCATGAGAATAACAAATCATTTTCTATATTATGGGGTGTGCAAAAATGGAACAAATATTTAAAAAAATGAAAAAACTGTTGAATTGATTGAATGAAAGA